TCAGCAGAAGGTGATTGGTCACTTGCAATGTTGAACCTGGAACAACATTATTTATAATGACGAGGGAACAACACAAACACGAGGATATCAGATCGTCCGTTCCGGGCATGTCTCACCGGGGGGAGGCCCTGGGGCAGACCTGGGACATGCTGGAAAGATTGTATCTCTCGACTGGCCTGGGAACACCTCGTATTCCCCCGGATAAGCTGGAGGACATGCCTGGGGAGAGGGAGGTCTGGGCTTCTCTGCTTAGACTGCTTCCCCTGCAACCCAGCCCCAGATAAACGGAAAAAGATGGATGAATGGACAATATATATTTAGATTATTCTTTACATGTTTTTTATGAAATAGTGAATGGCCAAATTCATTTTTAGAGATTTTTGTACAACGTGTAACAAGAAAGAAGAAATTCAACACATAAGTCAAAGAACCAAAAGAAAAAAGAAGGAAAAATAATCTTGTCACAGTTTTAAAGCCTTTATTGTGAAAGCAACACATTTTGTGTGGTGTACCAACTTTTATGCAGTGTCATGTGAGACTCTTTTGGCATACAGATCAAAAATATATCTTCACACATCATCAAACTGCTTGAACAAAACCACACTGCCTGGTTCTGCCAAAGAATAAATCATTTTATTTTAGCCAGTTTATCGGTAAGTTTGGGAAAAAATTTGAATTTCAAATAGTCAAATTTCCGTCCTTCTTTCAGTTTGAAACATTCCCTTGTTGCTCTAAAGAGTAAAACATCATGCACAGATCAAGACCAGAGTTTTATATAACACTAGAATGCTTTGTTTGTATTTATTTGAGCTAAAAGTTGAAAATTCTTTTTTTCATGCAGATATAATATAAAACGTACGTGATCAAACCGGCTCAGATTTTAATGATAAGTGCGGAGTGAATATTCATGAGCCCTTCCTGCTTTTCAAGCTCTGTTTGTTTTCTTTTTAAAGAAGCAGCAGAGCTCATGTTGCTGTGTCTCTGCCAGGAGACCAGACAGGCAAGACAGATATATTCACGCAGGCTTGCTCTCCCCACGCTGCCCAGGCAGGATGAGTTTGCCCTTGTAAAGAAATGCATACACATGGATGTCTCTGATACCCCTGTCCGCTGGAGTAAGGCATCAGGCCCTGTTAACGCTGCTACTATACATGCTTCACTAGACTTATTTTGTAGCTATCACTCCTCTGTGGCATTCTTTAAAAAGAAAAATTGCAGTATCCAAGGATGTTTTCCTTCACCTCCTACTTCCTCCTCCTACCTTGTGTCATTCCCCTTGACTTCTAAAGCATTACATCCTTAAGCAGAGTCATTTTCAGATGAACTAATCTGCCCTCCCAAATCCCGTCTTTCTCCTGTCATGGCTGTGCTATCAGATCCTGGGGGATTGATGGGCTGCCGGTAAGAAGACTCCTGCTTCAACCTCAGTAAACCGAGCACTAGTTATCAATTCAGTCCAGTATCAGGGATCGGAAGAGTGCACCTCATTTGACGGCCTTCACCTATTTTTAATGGGTCCTCTAACCTAAGCCAGTAATTTGAAACAAGAGGGAGAACTAAAGGGTAGAAGAGTTGTTCTGAAAGTTTTTCTTTTTTGTTTGAACAACATCATTTTTTTTTTCAAATAAGCTCCAGCAAATACTGATGTAAAATTTAGTATTTTGGTCTAGACAGCCCTAAAATGTGATGTCCACATATGTGGAGGCCAGGTCCTAGGAGGTTAATGCAATATCTCTCAGGCTTTTCCTGTAAAAGCATATTTTAAAAGCAAACTGCCTTATTAGAAACACA